CAGGAAGACAAGCAAATGCCACTCTGGAAGATGGGAAGACGGAGTCCCTTGTTGAGCAGGCAAAATACATGGCTGTAGGATTTTGTGTCCTGGGATACCAGGGAGCCCCACAGGCCTCCCTTCCCAAGAGTGAGGAAGGAGAAGAGCCACCAGCTGCAGGCAGCTGCCGTAGAGCAGGGGTTCTGGTGGAGGCTCTGAGGGGAGCCGAGGGGAGCAGGGAGGGCGGTCTGAGGGAAGAGCTCCTGAGGGAATTCTCATATCATCTCTGAACTGGGAATTACCGCACAGTGCTTGGGATATGCTCTGTGTGTAAGACACACTTCCTGGCTGGTTGCCACACTGGTTCGGAGAAGGCGGACAGCCCAGCCCAGGCTGGTGCTCTCCACAGGGCAGAGAAGTGATACTGTCCCTCTTCAGTAGTGGGAAGAAGCTAAGCAGAAAGGCGGAGAACATGGTACAAAGTTATTTTGCTTTTCGTTAAAAGAGGAAAGGAAGACCAGAGAGGTCCCCAAGTGTCATATCCACTTGTGTTAAAATCAAATGGCAGTAAGACCTTTGAAAACAAAATATGTTGTATAATTGGATTATTTTTATTATTGGATCAGTTTGCTTTTTCTGTATAAAAAATAACCTCCAAAACTTTGTGGCTAGAAACAATATGTGATTACTATTGCTTTTGAGTCCACAGGTCAGCTAAGTGGCTCTTTCTAGACACCTCAGCTGCTCACGTTCATGCCTCTGTGGCTGTCTATGGAGTGAGTGGGTGTGCAGCTCTGCTGAGGTTGGAAGAACTCCCTTGCACGCTTGGGGGTTGGCAGGCTAGAACTTGACCTTGGCTGAGATGGTTAGTCCTCCTCCACATGGCCTCTCACCTAGAGACCAGGCTCAGCGGGGCTTCTTTACAAGACAATACCAAGGTTCCAGGAGAGTAAGCAGAAGTGTGCAAGGTTTCTTGAGGCTTAGCCTAGGAATTGGCACATTCTGGTAGCTGAAGCAAGTCCCAAATCCAGCCCAGATTGAGGAGATGGGGAAACATGAATCTTTTGATGGGAGACGCTGCAAGGTCACATCGCAGAGAATATGGAGGGTGGTGTGTGTGTGTGTGTGTGTGTGTGTGTGTGTGAAGAAATGCAGCACAGCTATTTTTATAAACATGATCCATACTCCTGATGCTGATTTGTGTGTTATTTACGTTCTTGGTCAACACTGATTCTACTCTTTGGGGATAAAATGAGGGCGTTTGGTCTTTGGGGCTTTGCAGCTGCAAATTAATGCAATGTGGACATGGGCGCAGTTTAAATGCACCTGATAGGACAACAAGGCTACATTTTTTCTGGGTTGTACTAAGCAATAGGTCTAAATGGCATCGGAGGGTAGTGGTCTCTGTTTATTTTTGTGATTCAAGTGATTTGTTTTAAGTCTTGAGATTTATTAACTGTCAGGGTTCCCTTTTATTTCTTAATTTAATTCGGCAATGAACTTACTATGAAATGTTATTTGCAGCCTGGCTTTCATACTTGAGTGTTTCACTTCCTCCTGATCTAAAATTGTCTGCCTTTCAAAGCTGCTAATGACAGATAAAAGCAAGAATATAATTTGACATTGCCAAAGAACATTTGTTTCTCTTGTAATGCTTCAGGATTTTGTCCCCACTTGGCCTTTTCCTTTTTATTTCATCTTAAGCTCTAAACTATAGAATTAACCACCGTCTTGACTAGAGTTGTTTTGCAAGCCAATTCATTCTCTTTGTTCCAGAACTCTGGGTGGCCTACATTTTTCCATCTGTAATAAACAGTCTTGCTCTTGGAGGAACCACGGCTCCTTACATGTTAGTAGTAGTCACTCACACATATTAAAGAACGCCTGCCCTCTTGTGTTCATAGAGGTTGCTACAAGGAGTGGATTAGCAAGTTTATTATGCCAGAAATACGACATTCCACTCTATGGAGCTCTTCCACCAGGGAGCTTGCCCAAGGCAGCCAAATACGGTTGTACAGTTTGAACACTGCAAAATGACCCCAGCCTGAGAGGTGAATGAATGGTCACTGAAACCCATCCCACACTATGCTTGTGAAGCCATGCATCCAGTGTCCAGGCTGTATCTTCCAAGAGGAGTTGCCCATGAAAATTTCACTCAAGGATGCCATGCACTCATCAAGCCTTACTTATCCCACGGGCAATGTGCAACCTTCTGTCATTTATACGAACTCCTAATAGACCAGTGACAGCCTTGTGGAGGTTCATTATGAGTCGGTTGGACACTACCCTCATCACGTAACTTTCCTACTCAATAATTTCCAGAAATTAAAATTACACAGTTAGCGCTGCATGACATCACTTAGTCCCAGGTTATCAGAGGAAGGGAATAAGGAACAGAGAGATAAAATAAAAAGTGCCAAATCTGTTAGTTGCAGTGCAGGGAACAAAAATGCAGGCTTCCTGACTCCCACTGAGGCTCTGAGGTCGTAGCTTTAGCTTCAGGTGATCCCATTATTTGATAGCACCCCACCTATCCCTACCAGGCCTAGAGAGGATGCACAATAGTTTGTTCGTTGAATGAATAAATGAACGACTGTCCAACTATATTTTCTTTTTTTTTTTAATTTTAATTCCAGTGTCTTAACATGAAGTGTTATATTAGTTTCAGGTGTACAATATAGTGATTCAACAATTCTATGCATTAATCGGTGCTCATCACAAGGAAAGAATCCCGATCACCTCTTTCACCCATACCCCCCACCCACCGCCCCTCTGGTAACCATCTGTTTGTTCTCTATAATTAGGAGTCTGGTTTTTGGTTTATCTTTTTTTTCGCCTTTGTTCATTTGTTCTGTTTCTTAAATTTCACATATGAGTGAAATCATATGGTATTTGTCTTTCTCTAACCTAATTTCGCTTAGCATACTACTCTCTAGCTCCATTCATGTCGTTGCAAATGGCAATTTCATTCTTTTTGATGGTTGAATCATATTCCACTGTATGTATACACCACCTCTTCTTTGCCCATTCTTCTATCGATGAACACTTGGGATCCTTCCATATCATAGCTATTGTAGATAATGCTACAATAAACAGGGGTGCATGTATCCCTTTGAATTAATATTTTCATATTCTTTGTGTAACTATTCTGTAGTGCAATTCTTAGATCACAGGGTAGTTCTATTTTTAACTTTTTGAGGACCGTCCATACAGTCTTCCACATTGGCTGCGCCAGTTTGCATTCCCCCCAACAGTGCACAAGGAAGCGTTCCTTTTTCTCCACATCCTCAATAACAGTTGCTGTTTCTTGAGTTTTTGATTTTTAACCATTTTGACAGGTGTGAGGTGGTATCTCCTTGTAGTTTTGATTTGCATTTCCCTGATGATGAGTGATGTTGAGCCTCTTTTCATGTGTCTATTGGCCATCTTGATGCCTTCTTTGGCCAACTCTATTTTCTAATGTTTCTTTGCTTCCACCTCCCCAAACTTCCAATCTCTTATGCCACATCTATTCTTGCTGTACATCTTTGTTCATACCTGTGGTACTCACTGCTCTCTACCTAGTCAACTTTTTTTTTTTAAGATTTTATTTATTTATTTTAGAGAGTGAGTTTGGGGAGGAGCAGAGGGGGAGGGAGAAGGAGGGGAAAAGAATCTCTCGCAGAGGGGCGCCTGGGTGGCTCAGTCGGTTAAGCGACTGCCTTCGGCTCAGGTCATGATCCTGGAGTCCCGGGATCGAGTACTGCATCGGGCTCCCTGCTCGGCGGGGAGCCTGCTTCTCCCTCTGACCCTCCCCCCTCTCATGAGCTCTCTCTCTCTCTCATTCTGTCTCAAATAAATAAATAAAATCTTAAAAAAAAAAAAATCTCCCGCAGAGTCCATGCTAAGCACAGAGCCGCACACGGGCTTCATCTAACAACTATGAGATCATGACCTGAGCCAAAACCAAGAGTCGGTCACTTAGCTGACTGAGCCCCCAGGTGCCCCCTAGTCAGCTCTTACACAAGCTTCCTGACTCAGTTCCAGGTCTGCTTCCTCCATGAAGCTTTTCTCCTCCAGCCTTCATTAAGCCAGAAGAAGGAAAGCCATGAAGGCTGAGCGTAGGGGTTCACACTTAGTGGAAAGAGTGCTGGACTGGGTCAAGCTGGCTGTATGGTCCTGGACAGGTGTCCTCACCTCTCTGAGCCTCATCTTGTTCTTCGCGAACACAAAAGCTTCAGATCTGTTGGTGTTTCTCCAGGTGTGGCCTGCATAGTGCTGGTGAGGTGGTATTAGGTGGTCCATGGGCAAGTAATTTTTGCATGTTAGTAGAAATGTGTTTGATTTAATGTGTTTCCTGAGGGAAAAAAAGCCAAAACATTAACCCCACAGTTCTTCGGATATTATTGTATGCGACAAGTTAAGTACTTTAAGTTTGACAAGAGAGTTAATTTAAGGAAAAAATAGTAAGTAAATAATAGTACAAGTGATCAGATATGGCAGAAATGATAAGGTGGTATAAAAATGGTGTAAGTTTGGGAAGTTCCTCTGGTAAGTGTAGATGTTTTTCCTCTTTCTAAAGATCCTATAGACTCATTATGTAAAATTTGGGAAATACAGAAAAGTAGAAAGAGAAGAAAGAGGACATCCCTAATCTTATTATCCAACCATGAACCCTGTTAATACCTCTCCCTCACTACAAGTTCTCCTGCAAAATCCTAGTTAGTGGAGATCTATTTCTGTTTATCATTTTGGAAAATTGGAATAGTCCTGATTTAAGATATTTTTAGTGTCCAAATTATAAAATCAAAAAATACCAATAGAGAATCTAGGGTCAGAGGTCCACTGGCACCGTTTTATAAGCAACTGCTAAGTAAGCACACAGAGGTGAGCCCAAACCAAGAGAGGCTACTGCAGATCAAGGATCATAATAACTGATACTCTTTGCAAAATGCATTGTGTATGCAAAGCTCTACACCAATAATGTTGGTTGAATATACCAGCTATATGTATGCTGATTTGTATAATTGTCTCTCCTGTAGGGTTTTTGGAGTCTCTGGATGACTTTTACATTCTTAGCAGTGGTTTGATATTGCTACAGACCACAAACAGCGTGTATAATAAAACCCTACTAAAGCTTGTGGTACCCCAGTCTCTCCTCGCATGGCAAAGAGTTCGTGTAGCCAATATGATGGCAAATGATGGAAGGCAGTGGGCAGAGATCTTTTCAAACTACAACTCTGGTAAGTGGCCCGGCAGGATAGCTCTTAGGCAGGTACGTATGTTTAGGTTTCGAGTTAACCAGTAGACCCATACCCATACCCTTCTTCATGTCTCCCAATATTTCAGGCACCTATAACAATCAGTACATGGTCCTGGACCTGAAGAAGGTAAAGCCGAAGTATAGCCTTGACGCAGGCACTCTCTACATTGTGGAGCAAATTCCTACATATGTAGAATATTCTGACCAAACTGAGGTTCTACGGAGAGGTACTGTCTTTATGCTAGAAGTCTGGAAGTCTGATGAGTCTGTGAGTGTGTATGCGTATGTGGTGGGGAATGTGTGGTACGGGGCTATATGATGGGGTGCGGGGGGTGTTGAATGGTGGGGAAGAAAGGATGAGAAAGCCAGTGCTGGCTACACTGGGAAAGAATTCCCAGCCTCAGCACAACATGTAAAATCGGCACCGCAAACTCTTATAGGACACTGTGTAGTTGGGGACAAATCCAGGCATTTATAGTCTTAGGACTTCTCATAGCTCTAATATTGCCTTCGCTCCTGGGTAGGTCCGGGGTAAAGCTTTTAGTCAAATTCAGCAAATATTTACAGAAGTGCTTCCTTGGCCCAGGGACTGGAAAAGCATGGCTGCAGGTACAAAATCTCCGACCTTGAGAAGCAGTCTAGTGAGGAAGGGAGGCACATAAACAGCCGTTAGAACCCAGAAAGGGAAGAGCCGTCATAACGTCCACGGCACCAAGCCCAGGGGGAGCTGTGATCAGTGGGAGGATCAGAGAAGGCGGGTCTGGAGGGCAAGACGAGAGCCCCACCATTTGAAGAACCACCTCGATTTGAATCTCTGCTCCTCAAAGTCTCGGGCAAATGATCCACTCTCTCCAAGCCTCCCTTTCTCCATCTATAAAACCCAACAGTGGCAGTACAAGGTCCACAATCACTTATCAGTAATTTTGAAATCTCAAGATATTTTTTTGTTGTTCTTTCCTAGCAAACTTAGTAGTCTGACCTCCTCTTGGTAGCAAAAACTACCCGTTTGGTAGTTCGGTCGACTTGAACTATTTAGTCTTTATTTCCTCTCCTCCAGGGAGACTATACCTTAGGCTACAGAAATTTCAATGCCTTTGATTATGAAGTGTTGCCCACAGAGAATGCAATGTCATATGTGGTATGCACACCCCGTTGCCGTTCTAAAATCTGCAAAACCCTGAGTACTGAATTATCTGGCCTCCAAGAGATTCTGGATGTGGGAGTGTGGACCTTTGTAATTTCACAAAGTTGTGATGAGAGTGAATTGGGATAATTCTTGTAAATTCTTGAGCACATTGCTGACACAAAGCAAGCACTCTTGTCTTGCATCGATCATAGGGTTTGGCACACACAACATATGTGCATGTTTCTTGAATAAATGAGAGTGAAGATGATGTCTGAGTGATGGTTAAAGGTCACAAAAGAGCTCAGCAATTTGACAAGGGGACAAGGTCAAACAAATGGAGGCATGAAAACTGATGTGATTGAGAGACTGTTAGCTCGAGATAGCTAGCGGAAGGGCTATGTAGTGGAAGGTGGTGGTGCTTTTCTATCCTGCTAAGCAGTTTAGAAAATGGGAGTTTTTGAAAAGGGAGAAAAGACTGGAAGTCAGAGAGAAGGCAGGAGACTAATTAGGAAGCTATTGCAATAGATCAGCTGATAGATGAGCAGGAACAGAACCAAGGGAAGATACGGACCCCGGGAATCAGGGCCTGGTCCTCAGGCTCCCAGGTTCCCAGAGACTTTCTAATGACACCAACCAAATGCTCATAATATGCAGAAAACAGTTAGTGAAGGTGGTGACTTCAGCTGCCCAGCAGATCAGAGATCACCAAGTCAATAGAGAAGTCAAATCATTGACAGTCACTTGGTTAGGATGGCAGTTCAAAACTGAGAAGTCAGCTGGCTGATCTTGAAGCCTGGCCCATCCAGCTTGTAAGAGCCCGACAAAATTAGCAGCCTCAAGAGGGAGATGTGTACCGGAGGGGACAGGTTATTCAAGGCCTTTTCTTCTTTGGACTGCCACTGATTATGGAATGGCAGTCCAGTTCTTTGTGATCTTGTTCCTAGATCCCATGAAGAAATCTACTCTGAGACTAAAAAAAAAAAAAAAAAATCTAATGCTCATCTGTCTGTAGTTATTTTGCCGGAGGTGGGAAGAACAGAGAGTTAAATTCATTGTCTACTATATACTAGGCACTCTTTCGGGCCTTTTACTTATGTTCTCTTGTTTGATCTTCGTTAAGATACTTCCAGATAAGTAGCATTGTTACCATTTTACTGTAAGGAAAGAAAGGCTCAGAAAGCGATTTGCCCAAATACTTACGTGATGTCATATAGCCATTATAATAAAAGACAGAAAGTTCCACAAACCTCCTAGAATTTGGAAGCAGCTGTGGTATATTGCTGGAAGCCCTTGGTCAGAAGGGAGGCACTGAACATCTCTGAACCTCTGTTTCTTTCTTTATAAGGAGGGATGGTAATGCTTATATACATAATTAGGTTGTTGTGAGATTATACAAGATACTCTAAATGTTTTTGTAAATCATGAAGCTTTATGAAAATGTGATGTGTAAAGCAGCCATTTTGATTATTCATTTCAGCTGCGTTCATATAAAGAGAAGTATAATAATTATAATAGTTAATATTCATCTAATGCTTACCAAGCATAATGATTACCAAGGGGATCCTATAAAACAGTCAAAAGGGAGAAAGGCAGACAAAGGCCAAGACAATATGGGGGATGGGAAATAAACGCTGAATGGTGGAAGAGTCCCTGCGTTGACTAACTGTCCTATAAACAATAGCCCAGGCCACTGGAATCTGGGCTGTTCCTGAAATATTGATTGTACTAGAGCTGTGTCACATGTCTGACACTTAGTGACGAATGTGCTCTATGGCCTTGGCACATTATGAAGCTTGGGATGGAACTAAGCCTTAAGGAACGCTTACAAAAAGAAGTTAAAGCCTGCTGGAACCTTAAAGATCATCTCCAGTCTCTTCAAATTATGGATTCTTCCTTCTCCTTTCCCTGTTAAAAGGAGAAAATAAGTGAGGTTAACTGCCTAAGACCTGGTGATTTAGCCCTGAGCCTAGGTTTTCTGAACTCTAGGTACTATATTCTTCCACTGTCCCATGATTAGCACCTGGCATGTTCCCTGTTAGGGCCACACTGTGAAACTATCTCGACATTTCAGGAACCAGGTTCACTTAAACCAGCTCCCCAGACCGCTCTGTGTTACACTTCATTTTGTTATCCAGATCATAAGGTTATTTTCTGGTTAATAGATTGCTTTAAGAATTTTGGGTGAAGGGACGCCTGGGTGGCTCAGTCCAAAAGCGCCTGCCTTTGGCTCAGATCATAATCCCAGGGTCCTGGGATGGAGCCCCGCGTCGGGCTCCTTGCTCAGTGGGGAGCCTACTTCTCCCTCTGCCCCCACTGCTCCCCCTGCTTGTACTCTCTCTCACTGACAAATAAATAAATAAAATATTTAAAAAAAATAAGAAAGAATTTTGGGTGAAAACCAAAGAATTCTGATGCTCTTCTTTCCCTAATGGAATCATCTAGAGGTATACTGATTCTGTACGTTTAAAAGGATCAGTTTGAAGGCCAGTGTTCACATTCAAAGCTTTATTTTCTTTATAATATCATTTTGCAATCACACACCTGTGCCGATTTTCAAAAGAAACTATCATTAATAACATTTCTTTTGTTCCATCTCTCTTTTGTCTCCCTGTCAATCTCACCCTTCCTTCCTTCCATCCCAAATCAGGATATTGGCCCTCCTACAACATTCCTTTCCATGAAAAAATCTACAGCTGGAGTGGCTATCCAATGCTAGTTCAGAAGCTGGGTTTGGAGTACTCCTATGATATGGCTTCACGAGCCAAAATCTTCCGGCGTGACCAAGGGGACGTGACTGATATGGCATCCATGAAATATATCATGCGATACAACAGTACGTAGCACATTTCTCAAGAATCATTCCTCAAAACTCCCTTTCCTCCGCATGAATAAAGAATCCGTGTACGTTTTCCCACGTTAAGAATCCATCTCAGCAGTAGAAGGAATTATAAGAAGTTTTTAGTATTCAATCAATACTATACATATTTTATACTCGAAAGATAGAATTTTGTCTTCTTTTATAAAATGCCATGGAAGAAGATTCTACAGATTTTTTTCACTGAAAAAAAGAATATATAAAACACAGAGGCAATAACCCATACAGAGTACTTTTTTTTTTACCACTCCCCCTCAACCCTAACACAGGTTTTCTTCCAAGGACAGAAGCAGCTAATAAAACAAAAATTATTCATAAATACTCTGTTTTTGATGAACAGTATCAAATTTGTATTTATTTTGTAGAAAAATAGTGATGCACATTTATCCTTTATTCTCTCTTCCATCCACTCTTCACTGTGCAAGTTTCTTGAGAGCGGCTGGGTGAATGAGGCCACTGGGGGTGGACTCTTGATTATCTAGACTTGAACAGGTCCAAAGGCTTCCTGTGGGCAGGTGTATCCCAGAACAACCAGTACTCACCCTCTTCCCCATCACTATTTCCTCCTAGATTATAGGAAGGATCCTTACAGTAAGGGCGATCCCTGCAATACCATCTGCTGCCGTGAAGACCTGAACTCACTTAGCCCAAGTCCTGGAGGTTGCTATGACACAAAGGTAACATGCGAATTGGCTTTTGAATTTAATTTTTACCTGCACCTAGGCCTATCCAAAGGCAAAGCTGCAGAGATTTTTGTGGCATAAAACACAATATTGTCTCTGACCATAAATTCAATTCAGGAATCAGCTTTTGCAGATTCTGGTGGTAGGTCTCATTGCCTAACTTTAATGCCCTGCCCTGCCACTTAATAGAAAATTCCATAATCTTGGAATATTTGTTTCCTTATCTGTAAGACGGACATAACAGTACTTGCCTTATAGGATTGTTGTGAAGAATATTTAGTACCGATGTTGTGTTATTTGTAAATGTACACCATGATGGTGATGATGATGATGATGTTGATGTCTTAAGTTTTACCAGACTAGCCCAAAGTCCAAAGAACCTATTATTGGAAGCAGTGTGATTTCACATTAAACAGGAACTGAATTTAGCTGAAGGAACAGGTTTATTGGACAAGCACTAAAGGTTTTTCACCATGTTAGAATTATTAAGTGCTGTAATGCGTCTCCTAATATAGGTAATAAATAAGCATTACTTATTTGCAGTGGTGGGCTGAAGCCAACTCATAAGGGCTTGTGAGAACCAATTGTTAAAATCCGTTGACATCATGTGGATAGCTTGAAATCAGCCATGGAGGAGTATTTACACCATGCAAATCAGCAAACACTACAAATCAGGGTCTTTTTTTCCTCTCAAGAGAGCTGGTCATTAAAAACTTTCCTGCACACTACTGGATTTGGGGTGTCCGAGGGTATGAGTTAGCCATGTGGTTGGTGGAAAAGAATATTCTACCACGTCCTTTTGCACTCCTGGTTTGGGCTTGTCTTTTTGTTTGCACTTTCAGTCCTAAATTCTGGGAGAAATCTGTTAGAAGTGGAGTTAACTGTTAAGAATGCTGATCCGCCTACACATAATTTTTTCTATCAGCCTAATGCCTAAACAGAAGATGCTTTAGAATAGTCTAGTTCCTACTCAAGCTACTTTTTAGCCATATGATGATACCAAAGCTCTAGCTTTAATGAGCCCCAATGTGTTGTGTAAAGTAAAATTCAGTGGGTGTAGAAAGCCTGACACGCATGAAACCCCAGTGAGTGCTTATTTCTTGTTAATGGTATTTGCAAACATTCAGTAGAGCGTGCAAGAAGTGTTCTAGCCATTCCCAGATACACAGAGAATGACTGCCGCCTTACCGGAGAGAACCCAAGCCGACCTTCGACCTGCCAAGTTTTACTTTCTTCTGGAGAGAGGAGTCTGCCAATTTTTCATCAAAAGAGTTTCTGTTGAAGGATATACTTACTATCATTTTCCTTGAGCCATTTTGAATATGTGGAAAATCAGAAGCTATGAGACATCTTTTTCCTGAGGTTAAGATTTGCTGCTACCCAGTGGTTAGATGCTTTTGAGAACCCATGGACCTCGTTTTTGGATGTTGAGTTCCTTCTACTTTAAAACTCTTGTTACCGCCCTGATTAGTAACAACTTTTGCTGAAGAATATATTCTAGGCACTGCTCCAAGCATTTGCTCTCATTAATCCCCATGACAACTCTTCTGTGAAGTATGGTTATTAAAACCCTTTCACAAATGAGAAAACGGAGTCCTATAGGGGTTATTTTTAAACAAGTTTTGGAGCTAGAATTCTGAATATGAGCATTCTGACTCCAGATCTCACACTTTTGGCTATGTTAATGCACTTCTACTCAATTCACATCTGAATACCAAATGGTTATGGAAGAACATGTTGTGGAAGTTTGCGATATTTTATTTTAAAAGGGGGCTAATATTGTGACTTTGGAGAAAGAGCAGGACAAAAAAAAAAAAAAGGAAAAACAAGAATCTAGTTTTTTCCAAACGCTTTTCTAAAACGTCCCTCTCCTCTCGCTTTCCAGGTGGCAGATATCTACCTCGCGTCAGCGTATACAGCCTATGCCATTAGCGGTCCCACAGTACAAGGTGGCCTCCCTGTTTTTCACTGGAACCGTTTCAACAAAACTCTCCACAAGGGCATGCCAGAGACCTATGACTTTGATTTTATTACCATGAAACCAGTTTTGAAACGTGACATAAAATGAAGGAGGGAGCTGAGGGAATAGAAGGGAATAGAAGGTTGCAAATAAGATTCCAAAGGCACTATTTTAGCTATTCTTTTCCATTCAGAATTAGTCTTAATAAAATATATTAAATTCAGCGTGTCACTTTCTTTTTTTTTTTTTTTAAAGATTTTATTTATTTATTTGACAGAGAGACACAGCGAGAGAGGAACACAAGCAGGGGGAGTGAAAGAGGGAGAAGCAGGCTTCCCGCCGAGCAGGGAGCCCGATGCGGGGCTTGATCCCAGGACGCTGGGATCATGACCTGAGCTGAAGGCAGGCGCTTAACGACTGAGCCACCCAGGCACCCCTCAGCGTGTCACTTTCATTTTCTGTTGATTTTGTAGTTTTTTACAACACACATTCTCTACAGGGTGACACACTGTAGAAGAAATACTCTAGAAGATAAATAATAACACCTGGCTTTACCATAAAAGTTCATATACAGGACGGTATGGCAGAAACTGCTCACCCAGATCCATATTCTCCTTTCATGCCTGGCCACATGGACCACATCTCCCATGTTTCCCTAGATAGCTGTGCCATGTGATAGGGTTCTTGCCCAAGGAATCTGATACTAGTGTCACTTCTAGGCCTTGCCCCTAAGAACCTGTACACTCTTCCATGCTTTTTATCCTTCCCCGGGCTGGATATACTTAATGACAAAGACCTAGGGGATGGTGGAGCTTCGTTTTCAAAGGAACCTCTAATAGAATACAGTTAGTGATTCTTCCAGCCATTAACAAGCACCAGCTGAGTCTTTTCGTGGTACAGACTAGGCACACAATATAACCTTAATGTGGTCTCCCATCAGTTAAAAGTAGCATATCTAATCTGGGAGCAATTCTACATTAACAACTCCTTCAAAGCTAGAGAATTCTATGTTGTTTGAGTGCTGTGGTACTGCCAAGTGGGTTAAATAAACCATATTATACAGTATAATGGGTGATTCTTAACAATGTGAGAGACTTCCAAAAGCAACACAAGGGCTGAGAATAACTAGAATGAATCAGAATACTCAAATGTTAAAAACCCAGTAGTTTATTTCAAAGTATAAATTTCAGGCTTGCTGGACAAAATCCCACTACAGTTAACACTTATACAGACACCACTCTACTGTACATTTTAAAAAGAAAAAAAAACCCCACAAAACCTTCAAAACCTAATAAAAATAGGGCAACTTGCTATAGCCCAGTTTGTATTAGACATTAGGAAGGTCTTACATTGTCTTATTATTTACACTTTCAACTGCAATAAAGAAAAATCAGGATGCAAGTTTCCTACAAAGGATTTATTTTTATATTTAATTTTGAAATAGCGGAGAAAATAATGAAGCCAGGATCCCCAAAAGGTGTTTGATTGCCCAGTTACCTTATTTACAAACAAAACTAAAAGAAAAACACTCCCCCCCCACCCCAGCATTTAAATATAAATGATGGGTACTTAGCTGACTCTACAAAAAAAAAAAAAAAACTTATGCAGCATGATAAAACTGTTTGGAGAAGACAAAACATGTGTTTTATCATTCCTCCCCATTTGGCTGGCTCAAGGGGAATGTATTATAGGAATTAAATCTAAGTCCTCCACACTAGCGAAAACACTTCATGAGATTGTTCTTTCTGTTTGTCCAAAAATGTTAAAAAGTGGGAGAGGGGCATCACTCAGTAAATAGTAAGGAAGGCAGAATCCTGCATTGATTTTAAATAGAATTATTTCCAAGAATCCAATATTGGGGCATGGTTTTTCTGGAAATTAGAATAAAACAGGCCAACGACCGGTCAACAATGAAATTAAAATAACGAATAAATCATATGATTCTGAAATAGCCCAAGAAGGAAAGTTGGGGAGAACACTTGGAAGGTCTTTTCAGTACTCTAATGTGCTAAAATCACAGTGTATCAAAGAGAAGAGAAGAGGATACCACAGGCATTATTTTGTTAATCTTGTACAGTACTGGAAAATCCATGGAACAAGGTAAATGCGTATCATGCAATATTAACATTCACCTTGCTGCATAAATAATTTGGAAAATGTAAGCAAAAAAGCAAACGATAAAAACTAAGTTAACACTTACTCAATACAGTAAGAGAACTGTATAGTGCAGCCTGCCTAAGGAATTTTGCAGACAGATGTACCAACAATTCTAAGCTCCTTGCTTTCGGTCATGTTTCCATCTTTCATTTACTAACCAGCAATGGCGGTGGGCTGAGTGGGGAACACTCTCTGTGAGGCAAACGGCATCCCAATAAATATGCACTTTTCAAGGAAGAAAGCTGTACTCTTCACTTCTCTCATGAACATCTACTGTGTTAAACAGTACACAGTATTCTGCATATTTTAAAGCGAGTCCAGGGAAACAGGGATATAGTTACCTCATAAAGTTAACAGTTAACAAGAAATGTTGTCTTTGTACTTTATAAACTAACTGGCAAGAACATAATTTTAAAATGAGGCTTACTCACACTTAAAACAGGGTGAAAATTACTCTGACAAAGTGCAAAACATAGAGCAACAAACATCACCATTACCTTCAAATGCCATATGAACACCCTATATTTCAGATGGAAATATCAGAAGCTTTAGGGATTTCCAATAAGGCAATACTTACACAAGTACTGTCAGGCTAAAACTGTTAACAAACTTGCATTCCCAAAATGGGATAATCAAACTTATTTGTAATACTTTGTGAAAAGGTACCATGGAGTATGAACTGCTACAATATAGTCTTGTAATCAGTAGCTATTTCTAGTTCAGTCCTCCATTCTCTCTCTCAAAAGAAACAAAACAAACTCAGAGCTCATCAACAAAACCTGCCCAAAATAAATGCCTATAGTCCTAGCCTAGCAGTTTTCAGTAAATTCAATATAGCTGTTGCCTATAAATCCCATGGCATGCTAATTTGAGGAAAGCATCTCGTAATACACACTTTCCTCAAATAATTACAGTCTCTCTTTGTACCTTCCTTCCACCATCTGGAATAAAAAGTTTTATTTTGCCATAGTAAGTGTATTTTTAGGGTTACTATTTGAGAATTTATTTTTTTTTCTTTGACAGAAGACACACAATATAGGCTAAAATAGTATTTTCATTCTACTGAGCTTTCTTCACCTGATTATATAATGCTATGAAAGCTTAAAAAAAATGATTAGTGAATATAAATAAACACATTCACCAAGGGAAGCTTTTCTAGGCTAGGTAAGCAAATTGTCATCACATGACCATAAAACCGGCCAATAAAGAACATTTTTAATTGAACACAGGCTTTCCATTCTGTAGACAGGAATGATCTTGAACACATAATCAACAATGCCACCATTGCGGGTAAAAACATATATACATGCAGATATAGATAGGTGTTCATATACGCTAGAAGATCATCAGTTTCTCCCTTTTAAAATTTTCATTGGCATGACACTGACAACTTCTTATCATTAGTCCTAGAATGAGTAACATCTACGTAGTTGGTTGGCAAACTGGATTCATGAAAACTTTCTCATTGTGGTCTCATTTTCTGAAAGTGAAAGGAAGGTTCTGGAGCACTTACATTTTGGCAATCTGTAGGCTTTCTTCAGCATCAATCAAACTTTACACCTAATGTGACAGTATACTGACTGGTGAAGTCTCTAATGAGAGTTTCTTTACAGCTAGAATGCTTCCCATTACAAGCCATCAAAGCTGCAAACAAAGCAGCATTAATAGAAGGGATAGCTCCCTCCTATAATCCCAAGAAAAATTAAAAATGTATTTATTTTGAGAAGATAGGAATATGAATTCAAATATGGTAAGGGAAGATGCCTTGAAAAACTATCTCACAAACTCCATGAATTTCTTCCAAACTATTCCCAACCATACTCTCATCCCCAAACTTACCCCATCTCTCCTGCCCTAAACTACCTACACTTGAACACCTACCTGATACCAGTAGAGCGGCACTCATACTGAAAATCCACGATCTAAACAGAATTTGAGTAACTCTGAACAGGAACAGAGACGCATAGAAAGTATTATCTAATTGTTACATAAAATAACCCCAAAGGATATACTTTAAATTCTGTCCAAAGTTGACAGAGGGTAAATCAGACAAAACTTGGCATCAATCAAAACAAAGTTAAAAGGTTAAAACAGAAAAAAATGATAGGAGAGTAATAAGGAAATAAAGCTTTCCCTTTGATATTCTAGCTCACTATATTTTGTGAATTTTACTACCTACGAAAGAATACTACGCTTTGGGTGATAAAGTGAACTAGCATTGCTTTCCTAATCTCTAACACAGTATGCAATATAAATTCTAAAATATGTTTGAAGGACAATTTTCTTACACACTATGGTCTTTCTTCTCTTGGTCCATTTTACACAGTTAATTTAAGTAGTGACCAAAGATAAAAAGCACTTATGTTCTTAGAAGAAAAGAGCAGTCAAATTTTTAGAGTTAAATGTAGTGATGCCACTGGTAAGAATATACCTAAAAGCCTTAGTTAAGTTTAAAACTGACTTGAGGAGAATGTGCTATATTTAGTAGAGATGAAGGAGAAATGAAGGGCAAAAGGCTGAAAGAGAAGATCAACAATGGATAAATGGTCATGTTTATTTTAGTAGTTAATCTTTAAGGCACAAAATAAATGTAAGAGCCAGATTAGGAAAGAGGGGCCAATGCAGATCTTTTTCACCTAATTAACAACCAAGCAAAGAAAAAAGATGAACAGATCCTTCCTGTGTTCAAATTAACCTAGTTTAAACTATTTAACCATTTTGCTTTTTCTTTCCTTTAGATTCATTTAGCTATGAACCTACAGATCCCTCAGAAGCAGAATCATGCCAGTTACATACCATACCTCGGATCCCTTGATCTACTTACTTTATACTGGAAGAGAGGTAAATGTGAGAATGGAAATGGGAGATTCCACTGCAGTAAACATATAAATAGGGAAAAACACACATAAACACCCACACATATTCCCCAGCCTAAAAACTAAAGCAAGGTGCACATTTACACTTCAAAACCCTGAAGCTTCAATTGTCCAGGAAAAGACTCTTGCTTTATGGGCTGTTTATTTTACTTCTGATTATAAACAAATGTAGTGTATATACACATCTGTC